TAGGAAACCAAAAGTGTACACTACTGCTCGTGAGAATTCATCATTATTATAAGTATTCAGGTGAACAATTTTCAATAAATGATTATGATCATTAATTGCTTTACGATCATGATCCTGAAGAAAACAGTTGTTTTCAAACAGTTGATGTATTGTTTTTAGTGTCCAATATAGATGAACGAATACGTATGAACGGTAGTGTATACAATATTATAATAATAACTTTCTGCACAGGTAACGCCAAGTATAGTTACTTTTGATATGCAACCACTTTAAGGTGCTGCACAAACTATATCTAAGACGTTTAATAAACGTGATTCAAAATTAAATATTGAAGAAAAGTGATACAGTGTCAAAAATTCCGTATTTGTTAATTTTGGAGTGTGGCTATCTAATAAGTATTATAATTTTACATCTGAATTACCATACATAACAATTATAGTATTAAAGAAACTAATAAAATACATTTAAGTCGTCTGTTTCATTCGACGAAGGAATAGACTTCTTAAAAGAATAGAGTTCGTTTAATGGTACTGTTTTGAATAACTACAGAATCTCCACCGTGTCATCTAAATGTGACATGTAATAACAATAATATTTGTATTCGTATGTTTAATCGTAATAATTCTTAATAATTTATCTCCATAGAATTGCTTCTCGTAGGTATCTATTCAAATGGTAATACCGTTAAATAAATTGGATTAAATTTTAAGTAAGATCGGATCGAAATAAGATCCTACTTACTTATCATCCATGTTTTATGCCCGTAAGGTTAATCAAATGTCATATTTCGTTATCGAATCGAGGAAGATTCCAGACTTCAATAAATGTTTTGCGAGCAGTCCGAGTGGACGATCGACTTTCGAGGCATCGTTGTACTCAGGAATTAAAAGAGAACACCTATTTGCTGTCCTCTTATTCGGCTTAAAAATTTATAATTCTTTCGAAATCTACGTGGATGTTTCGTGTTTTCAAGCGGTAACGTCGGAAGTCGTCGTACCAAGAGACCATAGAACTCGAAGTTGACCGTGAAAATCATTTCACCCGCGGACTCAACTCTTTCGTCAAGAATCATTTACACGAACATTCGCCGCAGCGCCCATGTTTCATGCGATATGAATAATAATCTATCCGGTGACTACATCAAGAGCCGGCCATCAATGGAGCATGAGCCAGACACGGCATTTTATTGGTTCTTGCTCGTTTTCGTCGGCGAACCGGGCAAAAGTTACGGAAATATGTGCGGACGAAGAAAAAAACTCGTAGAAGTTCGTATCTGGGCTACGTACAATCTAATTTGCATTTGCTTCAGTTCGTTTGTTGTTCTGTTGATGTCCGTTTTAAATATTTTTTCGCAGCATTAGACAAATTAAAAATTGTTCTGTGAAGGTAGTATAATATGGTGGTTAATGTGGTCACAAATTACTACTAGACGTTCTTATTCACGTATATTTTTAAAATATATACTACTGGTGGCCGAACTTGTCAAGATAGGAGCCATATGTCGCCGATCTAAAATACTGGACAGCTGAGTCCTCTATTGGAACCCTACTTTATACAGTACTAATTAACTTATTAAATAAAATACTTAATCTTTAACTACAGGTGACTCATCTAAATTTTTCTTTCACTGTTACATCCTAGTGGAAAATTTTGGAAGCACTAGCGTTTGAGTACTTTCAATTGGCGTATTTACCTTCAGTAAGTGACACACTATTTCTATAACAGTAACAAAAAGTAACGTTTTAGTCGGTCGTTACGATACGTGTTGCAAAATAGTCGTTGATGGATTATTCATCTCTCATCATTCTCTGTAGTTAAGGGTTAATTAAGATACCGCTGATACGGTACGTATGTATATACATATCACACCTTTGCTGTAAAACTGACACAATTCGAAAACCACATTTTTAAGTTATCACTTTGAGAAAGTTGCAGAAACACTGTTCTACCAATCATCAGAAGTCTGTGATTTTTTAGCTTCATAAATTGGCTGGCAGAGAGCAGTTATGTCACTTTTACTAATCGGAGTGACACTGTCACTTGTGACAATCTTTTCCATTTTTTGAGGAATCAATGGTTTTCAATTACATATGTCACTTTTGTAGCAAGGATGCGATATGTATATGTATAGGGGGGGGGCTATTATTTTTAGGAATATAAGAAATCTATGTTCACAGAAGTTTTACGGTACGTAGGAATCATAACATGCCTGCAACAATTTTTTTGTGGGTGAAGGTTTTTTGAAGATTTCAAGGTCACCTTCATTTTTTTAAATCGTTTTTAATACTTTGTTTATGGCTAGTTGAATAGCGGGTGTTTAGATGATTTTAACGACCTACTGTACAAAGACATTCGACGGTAAATAAAGGAATAAAATGACGATTCTTATGTCAGAAGAGGGTTCAGAAATTCGACAATTACAATATTGCGTCGATGCAAGTGGTCACCATTTCGAGTACCTCCTGTGACACAAGAGTCGTCCTTGTACTCCATTACTTAATATCCAATGACCTTGTACACGGGTCATTGAAATCATCGAAACATTCGCTATTCTACTAGGGATAAGAAAATATAGTATGCCGTTTGAGAAAAAGGGATGTGACCTTGATATCTCTGAGTACCCCCACACACAAGAAAATTATGAATGGTATCTTATGGCTCCCTCGACAATGTAAAACTTTGGTAAATAAACTTTTCTCATATCTGCAAAAGTAACGAAAATAGTCCATGTGGTTAAAGTTTTTGTTACGTTTAGGTACGCATGTAAAAAATTGTAGGTTAAGTATACCTACGGGGTTCGCAGTAAGGGTCCAAAAGATATGCAGTTTGGCCACCGCCGATACATATTATAACTGTAGTTTCTAACTATTCATAGTAACAATTACTGTTATAAAGTAATTTATTATTTTACTTCTCTATTTACTATTTGCGGTAACAAAAAGTGTGTAGAACACTTGGACTTTTTAAAATGGAACATCCTATATTTACGTGGCCATATTCGATATAATGCATATATAATAATATTATTTTAAATATCAACTTTGGACTAATTGTGTATTAATAGCTTTTTTTCAGTTAATTAACACTTCTAACTTACAAGGATTCACAAAATCCCATTTATGAAATTCAGAGATGTGTAACCTACACAAATAGTATAGTAACCTGTTCATTGGAGTGTACGTTAGTATCAAAATTAGGTAATTGCTATTGCATGAAGTTTTTAGTAGAATAAGTGGTTTACACGTAATTTGAGATTAAGTTAAGCGAATCAACCTGTATATGATGTTCGTATTTCCCAGAAGGCAGTGCACAGATAGAGGTGATAACTGCACAATGGAGGCGTTCTCGACCTACATAAATATCGGGCTAATGAGAAAATAATGATCCATTTGAGTTCTTCAATATTGCTGCAGTAAACAATATTGTTTACACTGAACTCCCAATGCATTTTGTTGTAACTAAAATCAAATATATCGTACCTCCCAATATCTGTTCAATTTTTTCCCAATATTTTAAAAATTGTATGAAACGAAATAATGAAATATAAATGACGTAATGTTTTGATGAAATAATTTAAAAATACGAATATGAAAAATACGTGTAATGAAATAAATTATGTGAATAATATATATGTATATTGTAATTTATTAACTTGTTATAAAATTCTCCATACTTTCTTCAAATTAATATTGGTAATGTGTTTCAGGTGTAAGGAAGAAAAATTCATAAATAACAAAGCTATATTTGTCTCAACTCATCGCCAGCGATAGTCTTGTTAAATTTTATTCAATTAGTTGATGCATTATTTATGATCGACGAAAATAAGAGTATTTATTAGTATGCTATTTACATTTAATAATTGAAAACAGTATGGTCACACCATTTAACTGCAAAATGCAACAATCAATCATTTCTGCTTAATTTTTAAATTCTATATTCGATACCTATAATTTTCTTATTGTACTATTTCATAATTACAAGACATTAAACACAAGTATTGAGAACGGAAATGAATAAGTATAAAAAAGTAGAATATCGTACATTTTCACAATGTTTAATACATTGTTATATTTCAGTCAGTGTATCATTCCTCGACCTGTACACTGAATAATTTGTGAACATCAATTTCACTAAATCCAACAGATACTGAGATTAATATTCAAATAGAATTTTAAAAATGTAATGTCGCACGCATTGAAATCTGAACGTGTAATTTTCCAAAAATTAAACGGACGAACATCAATAGCCCAATAACACGAACACAGGCAAAATCACTGCGCCAACACTACTTCACATTTTTCCGTAACTTTCAGAACGACGTCGCGATATGAGATGCACTTTGACATCAAATAGACTGTTCTACTTTGAAATGCAATATACACGACGATGGTACCTCTCGTTTGGTCGAGTGGACATTCGTTTCTTCTTTAGTTTGTTATGATATGGAGAGGAATCAACAAAGTTGCGGCGTACGTTGGACACAAGGAAAACACTTACAAGAACCTAAAAGTCTATATCAGGTAAATAAATATTTTCACGTTCGACAAATGAAAAAAAAACAAATTTTTATTTTTATAATACCGTGCACTTATTTGAACTGAACTAAAATGAAAATATAATTATAATTTAAATTAACTCTAAATCAAAGACCAAAACAGCCAACTGGTTGTATTTGAAATCGATTAATGACAAAATTGATAAATACGGGTCCTTAAGGGCCACTACTACTGTTTGTTTCAAATGTTATAATTAATTATTGTTTATCTATATGCTTTAATTTAGTTTATTCTAAGCAAGTATAAATACAGACCAATTTTTTTACTTCTGAATACTTTTTGATATCGTAGAGGGAACTTTGTTGGATTTTTTAAAGAAGTAAATGTCCACACGCCTTTACCTTTTTTGACAGCATGCAATGCCACTACCATATGTATAGATGTAATGTGAAACTATAGAAGATGTAATTAGAATATAGAACGAAGAGGAGCAGGCAAACTCACTTGTTGTAGAGGACTATGTCGGGCCGCCATATGTGGTCGGACGGCACGTGTAACATGTGAACTCCTCCGTACTCCTTTGGCTCCCATCGCAGCTTGTAATCGTACCATGACTTGAAACAACCAACACAAAAAATATGACCATATTATTAATTCGTTTTTCTACAAGCTTAATTCTTATTGACATTTCGTTTATTCATGTGGTTTGGTGTGTACACGGTTTGTCTCAAAAGTTTCCGTATTGAAGTTAAAACGATAATTTTTCGTACGATATTCACGCTTTTTATCGACAATTATTGAAAGCCATTTCCTTCTGAAGTGACGTATTGCTCATGATTAGACTGCGGATTTTATGCATTTATCGCATACACGATTATCTAAAATTTAGTACAGGTAAAATTTTTATAAACTTCATTGAGGTTTTTACTTTTTGCTGATTCCTTTAGAAGCCTTAATAGGGCTATCAAATTTCTATTATATTCGAATCTTTATAAATTTGCTCACAAAAATTGATATTTGCATGAACATCCGCAGTTTACGCATAATAATTATACAAACATTGGAAATAGCTTTGATATTTCTTCTTCAAAATGGGGGAGAGAATAACCGTCGAAGTCCTGCGAATGTCAGAATGATTATAGATTGTTCTTTTCTTGTCTTCGTTTCCAATTTGGGTAACAGGAATTAGATTGATGTAGATGGAATTAGACGAATACGGTGGATAACCAAACTGTGAGATATATTTTTAGACCATAATGTTATGTAAACTCAGAACGTGTGGTGCCAAATGTTTCGACCGTCATCATTTTCATCGTTTAAACAGGATTTATCAGAGCCATTTCCAGAGTTTCTATAATTATTCTGCATAGTATATCTCTTTAGAAGGAAACTATTTTTAATATTTAATAGTAAAGGGCATTATAATTTTACGGAGAACAGCTGTTTCAATTTCAGTGTGGAAACTTTTTGGACAGACCGTGTACATTTGACATTTTACGTAGTGTGGCTTAAAATTGTAGAAACCTCGACCAATTATTAAAACTGCAATACGAATTATTGCTAATACTACAACATAATGAATACAAAATGCACGCAGAAGTTGTTAACTTACTGTAGCGATAAGAAATAAATATGTGCAGTTGTCGGCTATTGAAAGGCCAAGAGAAAAAAATGTGCCATTGAGGAATAAGAAACATTAATTTTGTGTATCCATGTCAATTCGATTACAAATTCTCACGTTGGCTTTAAATCGTGCCCGGAAAGCGGTAGCAATACTGTCCTCAACATCATTAATGAATTATTTCCATTTAATGATATTTAAAGCATTTATAAGTCAGAGAGTAATCGAGATAAATGAAACAGTGATATTTCTACAGTGTAATTGTATTAAAATACTAATTCTACATATAAGTACTATTATTTTTTTAAGTACACTATATGTAACGAACATTGTAGGAACACCCTGTATATTACATAATATTCCTCACCCCTTTTTCGTATGCGTACACATTTGAGTACATTTTTATAGATTATCAAGGAAAATAAAACTCCCTCTGCACCGATGTTAAGAACAGTATCATCATTTATTTCTTTAGTAATCAACAAACATGGAATATCCTATAACGGCAATGGTAACAGAAAAAGTCTTCTCAAATATTTTATAAGTGAACATGATAATTACGACATCATGTCACTTAGGTACCGACGATACCAATTAACCGAAATGATACATCTGGTACATTAATACCAATAATTTGTTATTCCATTGACTCGGATTGAGCCACGAGAGAATCAACTTAACACAAAAATTATTGTTACCGCGCTCCGGAGAATTTATCGAAGTGGCTGTCGTGAATTATATTCCCGCGGGAAATTCATTTCTTCGTTGAACACCCTTTCGTTCAGTCCAGAGATCCACGAATTTACCTTCCGACCAGCCTGAAATTGCATTTACTTCCACCGTCGACTGAAACCGGTACCATCTGAAATCTCTGATACGTTTCTTGAAATATGTAGACGTACCTGTGGTCGACAGGTGGCGGAATCGATTGCTGGAGGAGGCTGGATTCGAACCGTGGAGATTCACAATCACGTATCGATAACTGTGTCCATTTTAGGAGACCAGTCAATATATCGGAAGTAAATTGATAACAATGGTAGCGCACCGATAGCCTTCCTATCCACGGACACGTCCTCTCTTTCTGCTCCCCTATCTCCACTTCCTTTTCCGCTATCAGCTGCTACCCTCTCTGCTCATCAGACCGCTTGTCTTTCTTTCACTCTGTTCCTTTTCCTCTTTGAACCTCGTTATCGCCAGTTCATGCTCCCAAACCTTCGTCATTCATTATTCGATTCTCTCCGTTAGTGTCAAGCGAAAGAATTCAAGTAGGTACTGTATTTCTTGTAATGCTCACGCCGTCATTTTCTTGTTGAAAGTTGATGAAATATATTCGACAAATTTATAATTACAGTCAGAGAAAGTGAGTCCATTTACTGAAGAAATATGTATTATTGATAAGGAAATTGTAAAATTTATTAATTTAAATTTTAAAGTTTCCTAATTATGTAATATTTAATGAGATTTAAATGGGTGGATGAATAATCATTTTGTTGAAATGATGGAAATGCTTTAACAAATGCTTACTATTATGCGAGTTTTGTACATCAAAACTTCTATTCGGTGCACCAAACCAGTTTGCTTTTGAAAAAAATAGACAATATCCACGTTCAAATTTAGAATATTTTGAATGTAAACTCTAATCAAAAATTCAAGTTTACATTTTAACGGTTTAATTAAAATTTGAATTTCTATTTAAGGAACATTAGTGTGGTTTGTTATTGTACTATATTGTTAATATACTGAATTGCAATAATGAAGAATAAGCGTAAGAACGTCCTGCACTTAAAACGCAGTTGCTCCGAAAAAGCGAGTCTGATTGGATCCCGCTGAAGAAATTCTCGACCGAAGTTTCGTGCCCCCGTGGGATAATTGGCTACTAATTAATGGCTGTAAGGCAATCGAATTTCCACAAACTTTATTCCTGGCAAGAGAGAGACCAATATGCTCCTTCGTTTTCGTCCAAAAGTGAAATCTCGTACGGGAATCATGAAATCTTGGACCATTCATTACCCAGGTTCATTTATGGACATATTTTACAGGATGTTCAAATTATCATGATCTACTTATAGAACATATGAAGAAAAAACTGTTGGTATGAACACACTGGTTACTTCATACTTTCTGTTCACAGTAAAGTATTTTTTAGTAACAAATTTTGTGACGTTATGTGGACTTTAATTGTCTAATTCACCTAAAGATATTCTGTTTTTATTATTTCTTTATGAATATAAAATCCTATGAAAGAGAATAAATTGATATCAATATACAGAATTTTTGAATTATTTTGTTTACCTAGTCTGGGAAATAGCGGTGTATGTACATATATATATTAATATTAAATTACATTGTTATAACATACATGTTGAGTAAGCAAAGGTCACTTAACGATTTGATTGAATGTCACTGCGCAACGAGAGTAAGTGGAAGATACATGTAAATAAAATTCTATCAATCGTGAAAGTGTGATGACGTGTGTAAAGTTTTATTGATCCAATCTTAATAAACGTATTCGTTACCTTCTCGTAAGAAGAATTTTGTATAACGTTTTACGAGCATTTAGTCATTTTCTTGGATCATTATAAATGTATATTTATGAAGAACTCATTAATGCTAATATACAGGGTTCAATGTATCCTATTCATTTACCAAAAATTTGACATTGAATTATTTGCATTCCTGTACCGGATGTATACTATCCTTAATCATGTCTACTATACATATATAGGAGGAAGTATTACTATTAATATACAAAATATTTCACATGTCTTGCAAAGTTAAAAAGTATTTATTACTTCTTATAACATTGATAAGATAGTCAAACAACATGTCATAGTAGGTGTACTCAAGACGGAGCTAGACGATTGATACAACGGGATAAAGTACTTCTAAATATGAAAATAAATGGAAAGTGTAAACTTTCGTAAGCAAAAAATAACAAGTTTTTCTTAATGAAAATTGATTCTGGAAAAAATCAAGTTTGAAAATTCGTTGAGCATACTTGTATTATTACAGTTTACTAATATCAACGACTATTTCTACTTACAACAAATTATCCATATACAAGGTCTGATCAGAAATTTCGGGGACTTCATGTATAATTCATTTATTGTTAATCTTAACAATAATTACATAGGATCATCATGATCACAATCTCGCTTTGGCCTTATTCACCTTTGAAATCTTTTTTCCCAGTCTTCGAAAGCGGCGTGACAAGCAGACACCGGAATAAAGTCTAGCACCTCCAGCGGGTTCTTAATTATTGTCTCTCACGTGGCGAAATTCACTTCCCGTTGTCCCATACCCGCCATTATTCAGCCGATCTCTCACTGGCTGACTCCTTCCTCTTCCGTCGCCTTAAACGGGTGCTAAAAGGAAGACGTTTCGTCACGCGAGAGATAATATTTAAGAAGTTGCAGGAGGAACTAGACTTGATTTCTGTGTCCGCTTACCACGTCATTTTCGAAAACTGGAAAAAACGATTTGAAGGTGATCCTGTGTAAATATTATTAAGATTAACAATAAATGATATACAGACAAAGTCTCCGAACTCTACTTGCTATAGCTTTTGCCATCTTTTAGCTACCAATTGGCATCAAAATTTCTATGGAAGACAAATAACATAATACTAGTATCAATTTCTTTAATCATTTTCGCAAATAGAAATAATCAGTCATAAACAGACGTACGAAGAGAAGGGTAGTCAAGTTCATACGTACCAAACAAATTTTTGAACTCCATGTTCTTGAAAATCAAATTTTTATAGGCTCAACAGAGGGAATAATATATTACGCAAATGTCAGAATTCTATTCATTCGGCGGTGCTAAGTAACCGAACTCCAAATGCGCCACCTTCTTTGCAACGGATTTTCAATCAGAAATAGGTACAGCTAATACAACGACATTTCTTAAAATTAATTACATTCTTCACTTTATTTGTTCTTTCTCATGGAGCAACCTTATATTTAACTTCACTGAAAAAACCCATCCCACACA